GCCTTCGTGGAAGGCCCCTTGCGCCTGACAAACTCCGCCTTTCAGCTGCAAAACCTGGGGGGCAAGAGTGCCATAGAGGCGCGGTGCCTGCGACTTGCCCAGTCGACGCTGTCCTTGGATGCTTACACCCAGGTGGGCATCTCCCTCCAGAACGCCGCCTGCACCTGCGGTCCGGTCACGCTCCACATGCAGGGCGCTTTGGTGGGCGCGGGCGTTTCCTCTGCGCTGCTGTCCGCGGAGCCCTGTGGCAATGACACCCTGGAGATCGCGCACGTGCGCCTCACGACGGCCCAGGCCGCCCTTGCAGAGGCCAGCACGCACACCCGGCTGCGGAATATCACCGTGGAGTATGTGCAGGACGTCCAGGAGACCCAGTTGCTGGCTGCCCCGAGCTACGAGGCAGAGGCCGTGGAGGTGTCCTGCGTGTCCTGCGCGCGCGGCGTGACCTTTGCTCCCGGGGCAAGTTCCGAGCTTCAAGTGGTGAGCCCTCCAAGGCTGATGTGCGAGCAACGGGCTTTCCTGAACATGAGCACTACTGCACGCTGCCGCTGCGCCTTCCCCGAGCAGGTCCCAGACCGGAACTACGGCGATGACGTCCAGGTGTCGGAGACCGGAAGCTACTGCATGTACTGCCAAGCCCACTTCGAAGCTCGCGACGAAAACTGCTCCAAGTGCCCCTTGTACAAGGCCGGGCCGGCCTCGCTTCTTGTTGCATTTGGCCTGTGAACTTCTCGCCTGTCAGCGTCTTTGCTATGACGCTGACTCCATGATTCAGAGTCAAGGCGCAGCATGTAATCAGACGTGCATCGGGGATGGTGGCGCAGCAGTTACAAACATGTGAAGACGTGCTGAACGGGGAGGTGCTTTCACAAGTCTCTGACCACACACTTCATACGTCTAAGCCCAAGCATCTAAGGAGCGACCTTGATTTTCGCAGGAGGGTAGAAGGGCAGCGTGTGATGCGCTTTCGCATCCGAGACTAACCCCCCTGGACAGTGACGAGAGACATCGAAAGACATCACACGGCTCTTTTGCATAGGCCCCCAAGTTAATTTGAAGAGGGAAAACGACAGAAGGGCATGTGGATCTTTCATGGGTTATAGCGTAGACCATGCGTGACTAGCATTGCTTGTCCGGATCTTGGCAACAGGGACTGGCGCAGTTGCAAAACTAGCCTTGCCGCGCTGCGGCTCGTCATGCGAGTCAGCTGATCGCCTGCGCAGTTTCTGTGTGTCTCTTGCCTGTGCGTGAGGCCTGGTCTGAGGGCACCGGAGACCCCTGCGCCACTTTGCCTCCGCAAGCGGAGTGGTGGCTGCCGCTGCTGCTGGCCGCGGTGGTCTTCGTGCTCCTGGGCGCTGCCGCGTTCGAGGTCGTCTGGGCTCCGCTGGCGGTGGTGGATGCGCACACCGTCGAAGGCGAAGGACTTCTGATGACTGTGCAAGGCCCGATCTGCTACTTGCCCAAGCTCCTGCAGCGCCACATCCACCGCAACGTGGCTTTCCGTTTCTTTGGCACCGGCCTCTCCTGGCTGGACGGCAGCGAACGAGATTTCGGAAGCATAAAGGCTTTGCGTCGCTGCAAGCTGCAGTTGCCACCGACGCCCGAACAGCCAGCCTACGTCTGCGCAACCAGCAAGGGCTTTCTGCGCGTCAGCAGTGGCTATGGGCCGATGCT